TTCATATGTGATTTTGAGCTGAATCCAAGATAGGAAGCTTGATTCAACTAAATCTCAAGAGAATCAAGAATCCTAATCTATCATTAGGATCAAATGTATTATTCTCTTCCTTTTTTTTTAAACCTTAGATGAGTTTTAATGGTAAACTTAAAAAGGGTAATTTTTTGTGCTTTTATGGAAGGAAAATTTAATGATATGTTTTAATAAGCTCAATGATAATTCATGATGTTATGGTTATATATCAAAATAATGGACAATCTTTTAAACGAGAGAAAGATGAACATGAACCCTAATTTTGGAAACTGCTTGTAAAGTGAAATTGACCATGTGTCTTGATGAATTAAGATATGTAGATGAAATATTCATGGAGTATAATTGGTTTTTTCCATGGAGTTTATTTTTTTGAATATGGTGGAAATATTAAACTTAAGTTACAATACTCATGCAGATGAAATAGTGACTTAGATAAAATTTAGCTTATGTCTTAATGAATTATGACATAAGAACAACAAATTCATGGAATGTAATTGGTTGGTATATAATTAAGTGTTATGAACTTGATATAAATGTTGGATTAAGTTGTGTATAAGTAATTTCTATCTCGAGTTATAATAGTTAAGAAGTATATGATTAATTGATATTTTATGAAGTTGTGGAACCAGGGATGAGAACGAGGATATAAGAGTTGGAGATTGTTATATATAAACTATTACATGGTAAGTAACTATATATTATTTCCATTTTGATAGTTGGTAGTTAACTATATTATTATCTGGATATAAATGAACTATGGGGAGAGCAACAACAAATTGGGATAATGAAACCTAGTAGACTTCGTGGCCGTGATGCTGTGGTTTAGGTGATGTTAGTTTCCGAGGGTAGTCTTTATGGATTTAATATTACAGGGAAACATGATTCGGGTACGGTGGTGGCCTTTATGGCCGTAATACCACCACTAGGGATTTATAAGTCAATGGTAGCCTTATAGGTTATAATACCTGTGACTTAGAAAGGTGGGTGTATGTATTACCTGAAAGTTATAATGTGAATTATTGTTGTTCATACCTTATTATTGTGATTGCTGCAATGTTTTTATTTTCATTAAAGTTAAGGTTACTCACTAAGCTATTGTATCTTATATGCTATTTTTTTATATGCATTTTAGGTAGTTAGTGACCCCTTAGTGGGCGTTATGTCGTCATAAAGTTGTAACACACACACAGAGAGAGAGAGAGAGAGAGAGAGAGAGAGAGAGAGAGAGAGAGAGAGAGAGAGAGAGAGAGAGAGAGAGAGAGAGAGAGAGAGAGAGAGAGAGAGAGAGAGAGAGAGACTATAAAATTTTGCATTTTGATTGTAGAAACTTTGTAATATTCGGATTGATCCTTTGGTGTATTTTTATTGTATGTAATGATAACTACTTGTACTTTGTCAAGTTAATATGAAAGCACAACAATTGTTTGTAATATAAAAAGTGAAAAAAATTACGTGTGTTTTGTGTTAATTTGTCGGGCGTTACATTTTAGGAGTCACGGTCTCTTCTTCTTTGTTTTGTTCCAATTTTATCCTTCTATTTCATCAAAAACAACATCGTAATCAACCCATATTTTTAGCTTTTTGGATCAAATACTTGGTTCCCTTTAGTTACATCTTTTACACTAAAATACACCATTTTTTTTTGCTTTAGTCTTCAAGTTTCTTCAAATAACTACCAACAATTTTGACAAAATCAACACACCAAAAAACCTTTAAATGTTTACGATTTAGTTTTGTCCCAAACCAGGCTTTATATGGTTTGATCTTCAGAAGTGATTTCGTTGGTAATTGGTTGAGAAGATAAATCGGATGTCGACTTCTCCACAAAACTCCTATGTTACATTTCTTCTTTTAAGAAGACTCTTTGCAATGTCAATAAAGGTTCAATTTCTCCGTTCAACAACTCTGTTTTGCTGAGGCGAATGTGGTGTCGTAAGATTAGAGATGACAATAGGCCGACTTGGGTTGGATTCGGGTTCAACCCATTTATTAATTGTGTTGAATATTTCAACCAAACCCAACCTTTTTTATTTAAATTGGTGAATATTTCGAACCCAACCCAACCTTTGAGTTGTCACCGGATAGACCTTTTATGTAATTCTTAACCCAACCTATTAAATCAATGGGTTAAACCTGGATTAATCCATTTAAAATAAAAACGTAAATAAATTAACTACAGCTTACACAACTTAAAATAGTTCCTAACTTAAATAAAATTTGAAAGTATAATAAAAGCACAATCTTAATTCACAAATACAAAAAAAAAATGTTCAAATAACATTAAATATATGTAATTCCGAAATAATTTTGAAGATTGACTGGGGTTGTTGATGCAAAGAAAAAAAATAAGAATATGATTGCATTTTAAAAAAAATAAATAACAATAGAACATTGTAAGTAATAAATGAATACTTAGATTAATACATGGTAATATTCAAATAATTATTAAGTTAAATATATATTAAAGTTAAATAGGTTAGTGGGTTGAAAACGGGTTGATAACTTTTACCCAACCCAACCTATTTAATTAAATAGGTTAAACGGGTTGACCCATTTAACCTAAATGGGTTGAAAATTTCAACCCAACCTGCTAATTTTGGGTTGGATTCGGATTGGATTGGTGGGTTGGGTCCATATATTCCAACTCTACGTAAGATGCCTTTGATGTCATGTTGTTTTCACAAAATAACACAAATTCTTTTGAAATGAACTCTCTCCTAGATCCATTCAAAGTGTCTTTAATTCATAACTTGAACATTTTTCATATATCAACTTGAACTATTTAAAAGTACCCTAGATTTCAAACTTCCTAGAAAACATATAAAACCACATCCACCGACTAAAATCATCTACCAAGAGAATGAAATATTGCGTTCCTCTAATAGAGGTAGGTGTAATCGGACCGCATAAATCCACGTGAACAAGTTGTAGATGTTTTTCAGATCAAAAAATTACTTGATTTAGGAATGGAATTCATATTTTTTTTGGCAAGAATACATCATTCACACGCTTGGTTTGGGTGTTTAATCCTTGGAGCACCGGTTCTCATATTTCTTTCATAATTTTTTTTAAGGCATGAAAGCTAACGTGACCAAGTCAAGAGTGCCATATGCAAGTCAATTTGTCTTTTTGTTGCTAAAAGAAAAGCGGGTTTCCAATACTTAAAGGGGTTTTGTATAACTGGTTTGGTGATCTTTTAATTCTTAAATGTAGATTTTTGTTTCTATCAAACAATGTCAAGTCTAACCTTTCCATTATGATTCAACTTCTTTCTTCTATCATTTATCCAGGGATAATAATATTATATTTAATATAATACACTTCAAAGGTGGTACAGGCTCAACAAGTGAAAAAAATACAAATGGGCAACTTAGGTCAAAGTCAAACATCAGTCTCTTGTACATAAAGTAAAAAATGAATTTTCTAACAATGAAATTGATAAGTGTCAATGGCTTGTTTTATTAAACTTATATGTTTTTCAAAAATTAAGAACATTAAATATTTTTTTAATCAACATTTCCTCGATACCCTTTTAGAAAAATTATTTTGTTAAGTTTCAATTACTTGTAGATTTCCAGTTTAATAAATTACGTTATCGGTCCCGTATTGTTTGTTTTTCCAAAAATGTTGATTTGCGGAGGATGTTTTGGATGGAAAGTATGATGATGTTTTTAAAAATGCATTTATATGGTTGGAGGAATTTGATAAGGTTATTGCTCAGGTCGAGAAGATTGCTAAGGAATATGCCGAACAACTGTTTTACACTACTTTGCATATGACGTTATATTTTCAGTGTAATGAATTGTCATGCTTGTATATGTTATATTTCTTTGTATAATGAAATTATTGAATGTGATTTAATTAGAATATTAGTACATTTATAAAAATATATAATTCTATAAAAATCATAATTGTATATAGCAAAATTTCGACACACAAAATCGTATGTCATAAAATTATAACACACAAATGTTTGAGGCTTTAATGACACATTTGTGTCATATGCCATTTAGTGACAAGAAATGCATGTCATTAGAGACCTATTTTCTAGTAGCTAGTGTCCGGTCATATATGGTTTTGCTTATGTGACCGTATAAAATTTGTCAGTGGGAAGCCACATGCTCATCAAAACCCCATCGAACCCAAATAGGTAGTATGTATATATATATATATATATATATATATATATATATATATATATATATATATATATATATATATATATATATATATCTTTACTATATTATTAAGGATATTGCCTATTTCTTGAAAATTAAGAGGTACAACATATATTACCTCATGTACAATAGTATTAAGCACATAACCAATCTTATACATATTACACGACACTACACAGACCTTACCTAATCTCCTAAACCGCTTCTCATCGTCTTCACGAAAGATGCAGTCCACCTTTTCCGTCACACACAAGTAGCCCTAACCCTAGAAAACATAGATCAACCACGATCAACCAAGATTCTCGAGTAAGTTAAGGAATATCATCAAGAAAGAAAAGAGAAAATCCCACCGTCGCCACCTGACCTCGGATGGTACGCCATAGGATCTTCGAAGGAGCACGAAAGTGAATGGGACCTTGAGACAGCTTGGTATTCATACACTTACGGAGAGGTAGATCTCTTCAATGTGCACAGTGGCGAGCGTCCACCACTACCTACTTTATGCAAATACCTGATCAACGTCACCTGCGAAGCTTCCGCCTATGTTGTCGGAGTAGCCAGATGGTTTCCTTGATAAACCGGTCTGGAATCTAACAGGTTATCTTGATTTTCTTTTCATAATGTTGTTACCTAATGTGTGACCAGATCTATGAAATTCGTGTTCATTGGTGCGTATATTTTGAATTAAGCTGTTTTATTATGTAGATTCTGAGCAATTAAGTGTGGTCAAGGAAGAGAAGGCTGGGAGCTTGTACGTTTGTGGATGCCCAGACTGGAAAATCGCTTTCCATGGAAAACGTGAAGAAGTCTCTGGCTGTTTGGGCTAAAGAGGTAATCTCCATATGCTTGATTGTTCATTTTGTAATCTTACTGGAACTAATGCATTTACATAATTACTCACACGATCTAAAAGATGGAGATTATAATGAGTGGAATCATGTATTGTTTCCAGACAGGAGGTCAATTCCCAATCATATTGGGCATAAACTGTACTTCTCTCTCAACTACTTCAGAAATTTTCAACAAGGTAAAACCTTATCAATACATTGATATGAATTGGCTCATATGCAACCAACTTAGTGCTTACAAGCTAATGCCTTTAGCAGATACTTGGAAATAGTCAACCACATAAGAAGGTCAACAACCGTTCTACACCCTTAAGTCAAATCCAACAATTATATTCTCAAAAGCAACAGTCATGTGGCACAAAATGATGTAAGATGTATATGCCTTTTTTAGCTACATTTGAAAAATCCATCCAATTATAGCAATATGAATAGTTATTGATAAATGCTTTGTTAACAGGTTGGTTATTGTTGATGAATAACAGTCATCTCGCACAAAAATGATGTAAGATGTATATGCCTTTTTTAGCTACATTTGAAAAATTCATCCAATTATAGCAATGTGAATAGTTATTGATAAATTCTTTGTTAATAGGTTGGTTGTTGTTGATAAATTGGATTACTTGATTACAAAGGAACGGGTGGTGCTCTATGATTTATTTATGCTAACAACATTGCCCTTTTCAAAAATTATATTGATAGGTATGATTTGACATGGTTTTTTCAGTTTAATGTGCTCTTGATTTATCTATGTTTCTCATATTGGATCTTGTTTTACAGGTATAGCTAATGCAATTGACTTAGTTGCAATCTCTAAATTGTGAGTTACAATCTCTAAACTATGTTGCTATTTATTGAATTTAGCCAAATAGGTATATGCTCTTTTTTGGATTTTTGTTGATGAATGTTTTCTATAATTGTTTCTACTAGGCAAACCAATGGTCTTGTCTTTTCGAGCATACACTATGGATCAAATCATCATGATTCTCAAACAACAACTAATGGTCAATATTATTTATTAATCTTTTTAGCACTCTTGATTTTACTTTTTTTTTTCTTTTGAGTTGCTTAATTTTCTGCAAAATGTTTATATTTTGATGAATATCTTGTTTCATCAGGCACTTCCTTACACTGTTTTCCAGCCACAAGCACTAGAACTTTGTGCAAGAGTGAGTATGTTGTGCACCACATTATTATATGTATTTGCCTTCTATTTTTAATGTCAAAATTTATAAGACTTGACTTAACTTAAATATTGATTGGCAGAAAGTTGCAGCTTCATCTGGAGATATGAGGAAAGCTCTTGGTATCTGCAGGTTGACATATTCTCCATTTTTTTAAATGTTTTATTGCCTAAAAAGTCTCTCAAGGTTTCATATATTTGGATTAAACTGACGCTTTTATCCTTGGTTTTCAGAGGTGCAATTGAGAGGCTGGAAGCAGATCTTAGAGAATCTATTTCTACTTCAAATCTATCCTCCATGGTAAACATTTCTTCTATTTAGTCCTTAAATAAATTTGGCAACTAAACTCTGATTTCTGCTTTTTCAAGTGTTGGTTAAAATCTTATACTTTTTGTTTCTAAATCTTCAATTTATGAAGTCACATCAAAGTATGAAATACCACAGGAAGAACTTGAGGGTGGTGTTAAGACTTTATCGCAGAAATTATCAGCAGCTCTTCTAAATATCAATAGCAAGGAAGACTTGGTCAAACAACATTCAAAAGTAGCAGAGGAAGCAGTTGAAGGTATCTAAAACTCTTAACTACTTTATATGTTCCAAAAACACCATCTAACCATTATGCCCTTCACTCTTTTGTGAAAAATGACATGAATGTCCTTTTCATTCTCATCATCGAGAGTAGCCTAGAAAGTTTGTCAAGTCTAGTCCTGTCTATTCCAGTCTTGTCATACATTAAGGTCAACGACCTAATTTTGGAACTTTGAACTTGAAATGGAACAATTAACTTTAGACTCGGAAATATTGGTTTCAATCTCACTACCAAAGTATTTTCGTCTTTTCCTTCTTTTTTTACTTCTTTATATGCAATTTGAATATATTGTGCTGATATTTGTTAATTTTTTTATTGGCTATGTTAAAAGAAGATCTTAAACGTTTATTAATTTACTGCATATCGATAACTATAGATTCTTTCATAGAAAAATGATGTTGACACAATAAAACTTTAGAAAATATCCAGAAAATTGTATTGTTCTCTATAAAAATATGAATTTTAACATTTTTTACAAACAAAAGTACAATGTTTTGAAAGTGTGAGTATGTTTTGTTTGGGAAAGTTTGTATTGCTGTTGATAGATTTTTAAAGACTGTTTTGCCCCGATTTGATTAAAATAGTTATTAAATGTGATATGTGCAAAAGGTGGGTTAAAAAGAACAAAAAAGGCTATTTGTCGTCGTTATTTTGGATAAAGGGCATTTTGCTCATTTTATAGAAAAATGAAATTTACCAATAAAACTTTTAAAATATACAGAAAATAGCATTCTACTTTATAAAAATATCATTTTTAACATTTTTTACAAATGAAAGTACTATGTTGTGTGACTATGTGTTCCCAAAAAAATATTGCAACAAATCTGACGGTTTTGCCCATGCTCAGAAAATATTGGTTTCAATCTGAATTTCATTCCAACGACATATTTTCTTAAGAACATGTTTTCGGGAATAGTATATAAGAAAAGGTTATTAAGAAATCTGACTTTCATTCCAATGACATATTTTTTAAGAAGTGTTTTGCCCCGATTTGATTAAAAAAATTATTAAATGTGATATGTGCAACTGGTTGCTTAAAAAGAAAAGAAAAGGTTATTTTTTGTTTTTATTTTGGATAAAGGGCATTTTGGTCTTTTTATAGAAAAATCAAATTTGACATATTTTTTAAGAACTCTATTGATATGTTTTGATTACAGTCTGATGATGAACGTTTTTATTATAGCACAAACTAAGTATATATTTTGTATAAAGTTGTAGGCTTTGAATGGCTTATTAATAAGATGAAATGAATGGAAAATTTAATCTACATGTGTTTATGTAGCTGGCTAAAGTGCTCTAGCTGACATACTCGATAATTCAAAAACAAAATGTACATGGAATTTTCTAGCATATCACTTATAGCTTGTGCAAGGTATGTCTTGCTTTAGTTTTGTTTCACTTTAAAATTAGTTGAATACAAACTTAGTGGTACTTATTTTCATTTGGACAAAGATTAGAAGTGTATTTCTTTATTTTTGGAGAAAAACTTAGTGGTACTTATTTTCATTTGGACAAAGATTAGAAATGTATTTCTTTATTTTGCACCCGTCGCTTGGCGCGGGTAAACGGCTAGTATATATATAATGGTATAATGCTAATATTTAACATAACTTAATTGGGTCTGAAAGTATACCAATTAAATAGCGGTTCTCTTGTATCTTCTTATGTAGTCAATTGAAGTTTATTGGCTTAATTAACAACTCAATTATTGACTAAAAACTTTCTTAAGGCTAGTACCCAATTGTTAATAGTTACCCTACTTGGGTGTGGATATCAGTACATGAGAGTTGTTTTGATCTCTTGACTTGTATTAGCAACAAGTAAAAAAGGTGTATGGGTTGTTAAATCTTACGTCTAGTGAATTGATGATCATGACGGCAGTTTATTGTTTACATTTAACAAGATAATCATATTTTGTCAAAAGAGAAAGAATTGCATACCATTCACATTAGTTTTAACAAAGATGTCTAACTATTGTTAAAAAGAAAACATTGTGAACCTGTAACATCTGTTTCCTTGGATGAATCAAAATAGGGTTTCGATGGGTCGAAAGATTGGATTTTGGTGAAAAAGGGGTCCTCAAAACGTGTGACATGGAGGCTCGCGATGTGAGGAGGGCCGTATGAAGATTCTATCCGGGACTGAGCTCACGACGTGAGCAACAAGAGCTCATGACGTGAGGTTCATTGTAGCCCAAGCCCACAACGTTTTAGGGTTTCCCACATATTTAAGCCCCTTAACTCGGTTTCAGGGCTCATTCTCAGCCTCCACCTTCCCCTAACTCAGTAAATCCATAACCCTAGCATTTTTTGTGTTTCTTGAGCTTTTAGTGGAGTTTTGATGATTTGAAGAGGAGGAGATCACCATGGAAGCATAGTTGCAGTTTGGATGCCCCATTTGCAACCTTTAGCTACACTTTTGGACCAATGTGAGTAATCAAGATCCAAGCTTTATGTTTCCTTGTCGATAGATCTAAGGTTTTATGCATATTTATCCACGATATTAAGATTTGGAGTATTGGGACTCCATAAAGTTGGCAACTTTATGGGTCCTTAGGGTCCCTAGATGCTTATATGTCATGGATTTGAAGTTTGGATGATGTTGGAGTTCATGCATGAGAATTGATCCTCATTTTCTCCATAAATGATCCATTTTGAGCTTGTGTCTTGTATTGGACATACAAGGCCTTAAAGCATCGATTTTTATGACCCTAGGAGTGTTAGGAAGCCTCTTGGAAAAAGATGGATTGGTAGCTTAACGGATTAAGAGGGTTTTGGACCAAAATGGCGTACAGACGGATCTAACGACGTGAGCAAGATGCATGTAACATCGTGAGGGTTGCAACCTCGATTATTTTGTCCTATAGTGGCTCACGACGTGGGCCATAAATGGTCACGTCGTGAGGGCCTGATGACCATTGACTTTTGACCAAGTGTGACCAAAAGTATTTTTGGTATTTTGGATGGTGTTTGAGATGTGGTACTGGGCCTTGGTTTCGGGCTAAGTAAGGAAAAGGGTAGAATGGTCTTTTACATTTTATGAATTTGGATTATGGATTGGGCCTTGTATTTTGGATTATCTAGATAATTATTGATTAAGATTGTCTTTGTTAGTTGGTGCGGGGTTATCCGGTTTAGCAACCCAGACATGCATTTGAGTATCAGCGAATTGAGGTGAGTTTTCCTCACTGTACTTTTGGGTCGAAGGCACCGAGTCCGACCCTTTATATTGTTATCCTGGTTTATTATATGTTGGTATGCTGTAGTGATATGTTAGATCTGTATCATGGTATATATGATGATGTTATGCTTAGTGATCTATAAGATTTGTAAGATTGTCTGTTGACTGGTTATATGTTGGTTAGTGGTTGAGGTTACTGCTATGTGCGTGACGAAATAGACCAAAATCATTCCAACCTGATGGTTGATTAGGCTCGAGGGTATTCCATCCCGAGGATGATTAGACCCGCTGTATATTGGCATTCCAACCCGATGGTCGATTGGGTCTAGTGTATTCCAACCCGGTGTTTAATTGGACCCGATATGATAGTATTGTATGTAGTGAGACTGGACTACTTTGTGCATCAATCAATAGGACTAGGGTATTCCAACCCGATGATTGATTGAACCCGACATGTTTGGTATTCCAACCTGATGGTTGATTGGACCAAATTGTTTATGATGCAAGGGTATTCCATCCTGAGGATGACTGGGACCATCTTAGACATGCCTGGTATTCCAACCCGAGGCTGATTGGGCCACACATGAGTATTTGAGCTTGCTAGTGTATATGTTATATGTTTGAGTGGTAGTATTTTGGGGGAACTCATTAAGCTTCGTGCATACAATTTTCGTTTATGGTTTCAGGTACTTCAGTGGACCGTGACAAGGAGAAGGCGTGACTGTACATATGGGTTTCAACTAATTTTAAATAATGTTTTGAGAACAACGGTTTTGTAACACTTCTAGTAGTAAAATGGTTGTTTGAAAAGTTTTAAATCTTTTGAATTTTTGGGATGTTATAGATTTGCATATATGAAGTTGGTATGTTGAAGATATGATTGCCTATAAGGTAATTTGTAATTACAAACTCACCATAAATTTTTTTATTGGTTTTAAGGCAATTCATTTAGATTCTAAACAATCAAGATGAAAATGAAAGAAAGAAAAAACTGGAATTTAAGATAAAGCATTGACCGCAATGTGAAGAAACCTTATATATGGAAAAACATAGTGACAAAGATAATAAACTAATACAATCCGCATAGACATCCAAATATGAATACGTAATCTATGCTAATAAATAAAGACCCTTTTTGCCATATGTTACATTCTTATTTATTTTGTCACATTTAATTTTATTGTTATTTTAAATTGATTTATATTCCACATGTCATTTTTTGGTTTTCTCATTTTATTAAATTTCACATAATATTAAAATGTAATAATAAATGCATATCAATTTTTTTAATGAACTTTCTTTCTAATTTCAGAATTACTAAATTAAAGTTTCATTAATTTTCTTTATTTATCTATCTAAATTATTTGTTTAAATTTAAAAAAGAAAAAATTACTTTAATTTTTTTTAATACAATATTTTTCTCACTCTTCTTATAAATTTAAACTTCTCAAATATTTAGAATTTTATATTCAAATTTTCTTTTAAATAACTCATGTAATAAATAGGTTTCAAACCTAACACCATAGATATATAAATATGTAATACCATAACAACCAGGAGCATTCCAAAACATACAACAACAATAAAAACTTTAACTAAGAAGCACTCCAACTATTACAAAACTCACTTAATTATGGGTCATGCTGAAGCTACTTCACTTCAACTCTTCATCAATCATGTCTTCCAATTGATCATTGATCCCATCTTTATTCTTTACTCAATCTTTCCTTCAAAATTATTTCCCTCACATAAACACCCTTCTACAAATCTTTTTATTATTTTTGTTTCTTTTGATCATATGGAATCTGATCCTTCCTCCACAAGAGTTTTAGGTAATTGCTCTTCAGGGATCCAAGAATCTTCCCTTCCTTCCTCCCAAATCCCCCATCCCCACTTCAGATCAGGCCACTGAGCCATGCACTTAGTGATGAAATGTTTTGATACATTAGAAGGAACACCACGGTGGATGAGTAAAGAGATTTCTACACAGTTGAAGCATTCTTCTAACACGCAATCAACCAAGGCGAAAGTCATCAAAGGATCAATCACTGAAAAATACCCACAAAATCTTTTCACACCTTTAAGCCCATTGTCGCCACACCACACCTCAAATTCTAACCAGACCCTTGGTTTAAAACACAAAGAAGTTATGTTCGGGAAAGTACAGAATAAAACCTCTAGGTAAAATTTGGAATTTCCACCTGCTCTTATATCTAAGGTCACTGTTTCTACTGTTTCTAAATGATGAAACTTACGAATTAAGGAGCGAATGTTTGAACACTCGAATTGTATAGTTTTCAAGTTCTTAAATCTTTTGACTGCAAACGCGTTCAAGTGATCAAGTGCAAGATTCAAGTGGGAACACACAGGAGCTTCAATATAAAGGGCAGCAGGAATTCTACACTCGAGTCTGAGTGTGAGGAGATTGGGTGCGATTATACATATATATGATGGTGAATCTGTTACAATCCAATGGCAGGTTTTCAGGTTGAGGAGGTGGATCATCGGCATTTTGAGACCTCTAACATCTATCAAGTTAAGAACTTGAAGATTTGGGAAACATGTATTTAACTCGGTTAGATTTTTGTCATCTAATCTTATGAGTTCAAGTGTTAAACTTGTAAGCATCGGCATGGCACTCATGTTTTGTCCTGATAGCCATGCGTTCTTCAGCTCAAATTCAATAAGATTTTGACCTGCAACAACAAAAACAACCGAGTTAAAGAATCAAAATCTTAATATGATTAAATGTCATTTATTACCAACAAATATCATCATTAATAAACCCTAATCAATGATAGTTGACCACAAATTAATGATAATTTTAAATAAACAAATAAATAATTAAATAATAATAAAAATAACTACTTGATATGAACCAGAATAATATCGATCCTGGGAGACCAGTTACATTTTCAGACAGTAAACAATTTCCATAATTTCAGAATACAGCTACAGAATATAAAAATGGAGAATTTCAGCATATAACCAACTTACAGTGCACAGAGATCAGTGACAAGACTTCTGATCGACGCCTACTCGACTGAACCCAAAAATTTGATAGTGAAAGCAATTTCAAAGCTCCGGAAACCCTAGGGAGCCACTCCTTAACGAAGCCCTCATCGGTGATGTGCAGATCATCGCCATCATCTTCAACGTCAGCGTTCAACACATCTAGAGGTGGATTCTCGACGCCAATACGCACCGATTCCAGTGCACTTAAGTTTGATACAAGATTCATAAAAACTCTCTTGAGAGAGGGAGTAAATCGGGAAGAACTTGAAGAACTCGAAACTCTGGACCTTGATTCCAGGTACCATTTCAATCGCCACTGCAGGTTTATAAATTGAAGGCCTGGAAATACAGAATTGAAAGTCTTACTCACCATACGGCAGCAAGCCACCGTTTCTGAGTCGTCAAGTCGACTCAGTATTTCGAGTGCTAGAAATTCAGGGAGGTTCTCCATGCAAGCGGTGAAAGATCTACAAATGAAAATTGACTACTTGATGAGTTGATGATAGAGATATTTATGCCTGATTAATTTACACTTTACCCTTTTAGAGTTTGAGTAGTGTTTATTATTGGCCCTTATATATTAGCATTTAAAAAAATAACTTCAATTTAGATTTTGTGATTTTCATTCCAATGATTTTTGTTAAGATTTAGCATTAGCCGAAAAAATGGAATACAAAAGTCAGCAAACATAAAATATTGTGATGTCTGCTTTTTGTAATCTTTTAAGTTTCCTATTTGTTTTTGTAAGTTATTGTAATAAACAATTATATGTTATATGAAAGTTTTGGTATTAAAGAAATTTGTTATCTTTTATAGAAGACTTAACCTCTTAGTATGACTTTTGATGAAGATTAGAACACTTGAGATAACTACGATTAGTATGAGAAAAGCATTAGTCATTATTTATGTATTATAACTATTTGATTCTTATATAGCTTCTCTATGTTTGTTTAACATGAAATTGTAGCTCACAAGCTATCTAACACTTTTGGAAATGTCTTTTTAAGGAGTCAGGTTTTCATATGATATGATTTTAATCTGTAAGATATTTCTTTAGAAATTTTATACTTTTAGTGTATGAGATATAAAGTGTTACACATACTCAATGGACCAAAACTAAAATTTACTATTAATTTTAATCAGCATACTTGTAATTAGAATTTAATGCAACCAACAACAAGAAGGTTGGTAGTGTAATTATTATGGAATTTAATGAATGGTTGACATTATGATGAGCACTTACTATGAACTTGGTTGGAAAGTAAGTATTTGTTAAGTAGTTTTGCATTTTGTATTAACTCAAAAACATCTCTTTTGGTGGATAACAAAAATTATATTTATTTGTATGTAAAATTCATACATGTAGAAATACACATTTCCTATAACCATGAGGAAGTTAGATGAATTGTAGCTCACTAGCTATCTAACACTTTTGGAAATGTCTTTTTAAGGAATCAAGTTTTCATATGATATGACTTTAATCTCTAAGATATTTCTTTTGAAATTTTATACTTTTAGTGTATGAAATATGAAGTGTTACACATACTAAATGGACCAAACTAAAATTTACTATTCATTTGAATCAACATACTTGTAATTAGAATTTAATGCAACCAACAACAAGAATGTTGGTAGTGTAATTATTATGCAATTTAATGAATGGTTGACATTATGATGAACACTTACTATGAACTTGGTTGGAAAGTAAGTATTTGTTAAGTAGTTTTGCATTTTGTATTAACTCAAAAACATCTCTTTTGGTGGATAACAAAAATTATATTTATTTGTATGTAAAATTCATACATGTAGAAATACACATTTCCTATAACCATGAGGAAGTTAGATGAATTAGTTTTGAGTTGATATTAAGAACTTTCGGAAATAACATCTATGATAACTATGACAACACTGATATTGATAGTATTTTGTTATCATTTTGCCATGAAGGAATTTACATTTTCATAAATCATATTTTGTTATGTAGGTTTTATACTTATTATTGTCTATACGATTTTGTGTTTTGTTTATTATGACTTCATTGTATATTAAAAATATCAACCATATAATTTGTTTAAAAAATATATATTGTTTTCTTAAAAACTGGATGGCTCATTATATTTCAAAACAACATTATTTGTTAAAAAAGGTTATGATTTCATTAAGCAACTGACCCATATTATTTCATCTATCAAACATTGTTCATCGCATAATCTAGCCATTTAATATCTTAATATAAGACACTAATGATCTACCATGAGTTATATAAGTGAGGCGATTGTTGAGATATAATTGCATTATACATGTTACATCCAACTGGGTTGTAAAAGCAAGTTGTATAATGTAATCAATTAACCTTTCACATGACACAACTACAAATTATATGTCATTTAGTAGCACACAAAAAGTGACACTAAAAACCAAAAGAATGCCACTAAAGACTACTTAAAGAATCAACGGCAAATATATAAAGTATTACTAGAAACTCTCCAACTAAAACCCTTTAATGACACTTTTATTGTTTTGTCGTTGCAGCCTTATATGATTTTAGTGACACTTTCTTATTTGCCACAATAGAGCAAAAGTATTTTGAGGCATATATTTTGTGCTGCTAAACACTCATTTTATTCTAGATTTCATGTTATTTTTAGTGACACGTTTTAAAACTTTATTGACCATTTTTTTATCACATTAAACATATATGGATGTTATTCGAATTAATGTATACAAGCTCCACTAAAAGTATCAAAAGGAATATAAAATACATATTGCATATATGAATGTTATTGTTATTAATGTGATATATAAAACAATAAAAGTTAGATCATTTTCGCAAAACTATATACATATTATATCAATTGTATAAAAAAATAATTAAACACTTCACAAGGAAATCAAACATACATGTCATTAAACCTTTTTAGCCATGTGTTATCTTTTATCCATTTCCATATATGTATGCTCTAATTCTGTACCTAGAAATTCCATATTGTCTTCAACCATGCACACACACAAGCTAAGGGGTTACATTGTTATCTTTTGTATTTTTCTAAACGATTAAAGCAAATATGTTTTTTTAAATCATTACAAAAAAGCTAAGGGGTTACATTGACAAAATAGTGAATATATGTTGCCTACCTTTTGTATTTTTCCCAATCAGAAAAACAATATCACAAAAGAATATTTAGAAAAAACTTTACCTTTAAACAAAAATTCTCTTGGAGACCTTCAAAATTGTTACCTATAAGAAATGCTATGAGGCAATAATATATATATATATATATATATATATATATATATATATATATATATATATATTATTGATTACTATATAACTCTTACCATATTTTTGCATTATGTCGATGGTTTCATCAGGTATAATGTCATTTCTTAGTTGCATCTTCCTCTCTATTCAATGCATAATGAACAATAATAAGCATTAAAAGAGTAAACTATAAGAAATAGCAACGTACTTTGCATACCATGTCAGCAACTACAAAAATCAATTAGACTGCCCTAATTTGGTGAAAAATATAAAGATAAATTAACAATACAAGATCATAAAAAAAATGTGAAATGGTTTGAGATTGAAACAAACATAATGAACTAAACATGATAAACTAATAAAAATAAATCATTGTAAACAAATATAACTTATCCAACAAAAAAAGTAATTCTTCCTTGCAACACCATTTTTAGTTATTTGTTCCTACACTCTCGCCGACAAACTATATTTTAAGTGTTATGAATTATTGTTTAAGTACTTTTTTAGATTTACAAAAGTGTTTATGAATTTAGTAATTTATCCATTTAAGTTGTTAAATAAGGCATTTTCACCAGTTATCAATTTAGCATACAATTTGATAATCATTTATATATTCTTCTTATTCATTCGATTTTAATATTTTTACCTTACATTGATCATTCTTTCTCATCTAAATAGTTACCTTTTAATATTTAACTTTATTTAAATACTTTATTTGTTGAATAGTTTAGAATTTTACATAATAAATAATTAAAATTGGCCTACGAAAGTAAGGATTTAAACCGATCTACGAGTTTCTAGTGGATGAAGAGGAAAAGAGTAATATCACCCTTCAACCTCACACTATCAAGAAAAGTTTGTAAAAATTGAAGAAGTGAGATGCTAAATTGTTAATGACAAAGAATATAATGTAAAAGTAAATTTGTCACTATACCTTTCTTGATCCTCCAAACAGGAGACAACCACAACTGTTTTTACATTTTTAAGGCTGAATATAGATAATGCAATCTTGGAACTTATGCTTTCATAACATTGACTTCTGCTGCACATTTTTACATTCTTAAAAAATAATGAAGATAAGCATCAACCATTCAACAAAAGAGTGAAAAACAATCGTTAATCTAAACTGCAAGTTCTGCAAGTTTTGTGTAATTTTCATGATCAAATAGTGTATAAGAAGCTTAGCATGACAAAATCACCTATCATTTAGTAAAAGAGTAAAAAGTTTACCATTAATTTCAGAAAGTAAAATTAATACTATGTAAAATGGTGCAGGTAAAAGTTTGTAAGTGTTTACCTACACAACAAATATTATTGTTTTTATATTAGACTCATAAGGAGCTGACAAGTCAAGAAAAAAACCTCCTCACCAAGAGCTTTCCATATCAATGAAGAAGAATAAAGGAACAACATTTTCTAACACTTGATGTTTACGTAAAAATCAATTAAACCTAACCATAAATGGAGAAATGAATCAAATATGGTACAAAAAACGTTCAAACTTAACAAAGAACGATCAATGAAATCCAAAAAGATATGTTATAATTATGCGATCTTTAATTACAAGTAACTATAAATAATCTAGAGTTGGTAGAGGAACACACAACTAGATATCAGAAAACACCGATAAATCTCATTTGATATCTTTAATTTCACATTGCTTTTAATGAGAAATATTGCAATTTCTCTATATAATTGCACACAACATCTCATGTGAACAAATTCAAGTCATTGGAGGTGCACCTCAAAATGATATTGCTATTTGATACCTACTGATTCAGAACAAACAACTAACAAATTGTAAATCAAATTACAGAAAAATATATACATGTCTCTTTGTGAAATTTCATCAAACACTTGGTCTTCATATTAAAAACAAGGAAACCAACAAGGGAAAATCATGAAAATTGTTTCTATAAGGTTAATTCGAACTAGAAGAGTGATAGTTTAACATAATACATTTTAGATTTATTTAAAGCCATATAGTCGATTACCATAACAGGAAGGAATGATGAAATCCAACAACAATTACATATTTACATAGAAGGAGAAGATAAATTTTGAAATTAGGTTGCTTTCGGTGGAAAGGCCACTGACTAGTGATGTGTAGTACCAGATGATCGAGTCGCAATGTACTAATAGAGAGCCAATTTCATGATCTCGTTTGATATCAAACAATTTATTTATTT